TCAACTGGGGGTCGAGTGGAATAAACCCATCGGTAGGGAATGCTGAGACAAACAGCCTGTGGAAGAGCATGCCCGAGTCTCAGTGACGGGGACTTGACTGGTGTGGGCATGCCCTCAGGAGAAGCAGGATCAGTGAGACCCAGAGGCCCTCAGGAATGGGGGCCAGGCCACTTGGCCTCAAACATGCCATCGACAGGGGAATGTTTCCCGAGGGCCTGGCTCCTGCTTCTGATCTGGTTTCTATTCCAGCTACAAGTCACAGGTCCCACACATGCCTTGGCCTGCCTCTCCCTTTTCAGAAATAAATTATCCTGCACCGACTGTACCTCCCAACACCTTTGTACTGCAGTCCACATTGCAGGATGAAGTGTAGGTGTATCGGTTTTGGTAGCCCCCCTGGGTCATGCCAGCACTGGCCCCCACTGGGTGGTGTCACCACTTTAAGAAATGCTGGTCTACATGGTCCCACACTTACCCACTTCTCCTGCTACCCTCATGCCACCAGCTATTCCCTTCACCTAACAACAAGCCCATGATCTGTCCTTAGACCTACTCTGTGCCAACAGATACTGTGCCCAGCTTGCCTGCAGCAGGACCGCCTGGCCAGGCCCCAAGCCCAGTATACCAGCAGCAGCCTTCCACACATGCTGCAGGCCATGCAGATATCCCCACGGGCCAAGAAACACCCTGGGCTGCAGCCACAGACGTCCCAGGAGAGCCTCTGCTGGACTGTCTTCATGGCTGCCCTTTCCCACGTTTAAAAAAGGCCACATGCCGAGTGTACCTCCTCTGTTCCTGTGACACACAGCCACAGACTCACGGTGGCTCATACAGCCAACACCAGTGTCTTCTTCACACACAGACACACAGTCTCATACAGTCACACACCCAGTGCCACCTCCACACATGCACACACGGACACACACACACAGGTTGTCCCTGACCGCTTGGTCTACAGCAGCGGCACCCCCCAGTCCTCATTACAATTTGATGATCGCCATCTTTCTTGACAGTAGAACACAGGCCCCTACTTACTGAGGTGCATAGAATATGGAGTCTTACAAGTTTGTCAGCAGCCATCCAAGATACAACCCCCTACTAACCCTTTCCCATGGACAGCCAAGGGGAGTGAAGAAAATTTGAGAGTCTGAGTGCCCGGCGACTTGTCCAAAAACAGCTGAGTGGACCAGTGACCCACAGGACATGGAGACCAGAAAACTAGAGAGTGCCTGGCAACCATAGCCCAGCACTCTGGTGGGATGGCAACAGGGCAGGCAAATGGAAAACAATCCAACTTACCAGACACACTAGTCTGACTAAGCCGAGGACCCCCCGCACGATGGCCCTGAGACACCCTTCTGACCTGGAACCAAAGCCATCCAAGAGACCGCTTCCAGCCAAGCAACATACAGGCCCATAAAAGAGATCAATTACACAGGGGAGACGCAGGATGCCCTTGAAAGGAGGGCCCCCCAGAGCTGAGCGTACACCTCCCCTGTCCCAGGCAACACCTCCAGAGAGGAGCATGCTCCTTGATCAGTCATTTACATGCGGGGATACGCCTCCCCCCATTTCAGAAGACAGTGGAGGTTCGGGGTGAGAATCCTCACCCTACACACAGCAGACCCAGCTGGATTCCCACCCAACGCTTCCTGGAGGTCAGCAGAGGCTGGACTCCCACCCAGGCTGCCTGGCAGTCTGTAGAGGCTGGTGCTGCTGCGATGCTGCACACGTTTTCAAAGTGCTTCTAGATGCACTGGGAAGAAAAGTCTGGTGATCGGCTTCTGTGACCCCCGTGGATCATGACACTCTGACCCACAGTGGACAGTGGGCAGCGTCCTTTCTCACCACGAGCTGGGGTCCACACCGCAGTAACAAAACCCTGTAAAGCAGGTGTTGTCCTTTCATCCTGCAAATGAAGCAACAAGGCACAGAGTAATGGTTTCTTGGTAGGCACATAGACGGGGGAGGTGGGCACAGGATTTGAACTAGAGCTCCAGAGGCTGAGTGAGGGTGAAGGTGCTGAGTGGTAGACGGGGTGGGCAGGAGTACAGTCCCCTACACTGAAACCGCAGGCAGATGGCCTTGGCCCTGCCGTCACCCCCACCAACTGTCCCCCATCACATGTATTCTGGTGTGCCGGGGATGGCAGGCGTGTCCAATCTGCTGTTGTATCTGTCATCCCTGACAGCAGGCCAGCTCATCAGCAGGCCACGCCCCTGCCCCTGGCCCTGGCCCCGGGGCTGCAGGGTGGCGTCACTGGCTCCCCACCCTGCCCAGGCTCCGCTGCCTCCTCTCCCCATCAGCCTCCAGGGCTGAGTGCCACCTTCATACCTGGCAACCGACTGGAGGGTCACATACAATGCAGGCAGTGTGGGGCCAGGCAGCGCAGGAGTCGGCGGGAGCCATAGGAGGTGACTCACTCATGCCTTCATGGCTACTTGACTCAAGGGTTCTCCAAGAAAATGGGGGGTGGCTCAGAAAAGGGTGACCATGAGGGCAACTCTGTCCCCACAAGCAGACACCACGCCCTGTCACGACAAACACCCTCCCCCTCACTAAGAACCCCTTAGTTCTCTGTGCTGAGGAGCCGTGAGGGTGCTGTCAGGCAAGCATTGGAGTGTGCTCATCAAAAGGTCTGTAGTTCAAACCCACCAACCACTCTTTGGGGAGAAAAGGAGGCTGTCTGCTTCCACCAAGATTTGCAACCTCAGACACTCTACAGAAGGTCGCTGTGAGTTGAGCTCCACTAAATGGCAGTGGGTTTGGAGTTTTGTTGTTAATCTACCCTGTCCTAGGGCCACTGAGATGCCCTGGGGCTGCTGCTAACCACAAGGTCAGCAGTTCAACCCTCCAGGTATGGCTTTCTACTCCTGTGCAGAATTACAGTCTCAGAAACCCACAGGAGTAGTTCTGCCCTGTCCTATAGGATCATGATGAGTCAGAATGAACTGGATGGTGGGAGTTTGGGGTGGGGGAAGTTGTTTTGGGTTTTTTAAGCTTTGCTGAGTATGTAGGTCTCATCTTCTTCTGACTTACAGGCTCACTGTGAGCTGGGCTAAAATGCACTTGACCCAAGCCATGGTATTTTCAATCATATGCATGGGGAAGTTAGACACTGAATAAGGAAGACCCAAGAAGAAGCGATGCGTTTGAACTGTGGTGCTGGAGAAGACTATTGAAAGTACCATGGACTGCTACAAGGACAAACTGGCCTGTCTTGGAAGTACAGCCAAAATGCTCCTTAGAGGCAAGGATGGTGAGACTTTGTCTCATGTTCTCCTGACGTTGTCAGGAAAGACCAGTCCCTGGAGGAGGACATCATGTTTGGCCAAGTGGAGGGGGCAGTAAAAAAGAGGAAGAACTTTGACAAGGTGGGCTGCAGCCATGGGCTCAGACAGAGGGATGGTTGTGGGGGTGGGGCAGGCCGAGTAGTGTTCTGTCCTGTTGTGCTTGGGGTTCCTATGACTCAGAACTGACACTCCGGCACCTAACAACAACATGCCATAGGAATCACTCGATGACCGTGGGTTTGGCCAGGGGTGGGGGGTGGGGTGGTGGGAAGCATCATCCCTGCAGGAGCAGGCCTATCTGGCCATTAGGAGCCCAACATGTAATCCTCAGCACCACGAATGGTTATGTCAAAGCCAGGTGATGCTCACCACACGCAGGCTCAGGGGTCAGAGCAGGTGGCACAGGATGTCACAGAGGCTGTGTGACCTCAGTCCTGGCTGCCTTCCTGAACCCTGGTACCTCGAGACGCAGAGGGCTTCAATGGGACATCAGGAGCAGCCCCCCGCTGGGTCCAGCACAGTATCAGCGTTGACTGAATTCTGAGAGGTACAGCCCTATGGGACACGAGCCAACCCCAGCCGGACACCAGACGCAGGCCATTGGCCACAACCAGCTGTAGTCCCTCCCTCGCTTCCTCAGACATCTGAGGTGCTGGCAGCCCCTTGCTGACGCCCAGAGGAAACCAGTACCGTGGGAGTTTACAATATTTGAACTGGTACAGGCCACAAACCAGGAGTTCCCCCTGCCACCCCGAGAGCCACTTTGCCAGCACACAATGGCCCTAACACTCACTTCTATTATGTAGACAAGGAAATCGATGGTGGCTGTCTTCCCCCACAGGGGGCAGGTCTCAGCGGAACTTCTAGGCCAGGCAGACTAGGAAGAAAGGTCGGTTGATCTCCTTCATCAGTGAAGATGTGCAGATGGCAGTGGAGCATGGACTAACACAGGAATGGAAGGGGAGACTTGGACGTTTGGAAGGTACTCCAGATGCGACAGGACAAGGCAGCTTCCTTCTCCTGGAGGAGTCAAATGTACAAAACTAATGTCTACCAAGTAACAATACCTGTGTCACGTAATAACAACATCATGTAACACAATGTACCCACGTCTGATTCAATGTATACATCACAAGCATGTCATCACTCTGGGAGCGAGGTGGCTGAGCCCTTGGTGACGGCATGGAGCCTCTGGCTCAAACCCTGCCGGATGCTGTCCTCATCTCTGCACCTGGGAGCCCGTCGATGCCTTTCCTTTCAACACAGAGCCTGGTTGAGATGCATTTTTCTTTTAACCAAAGATTCCTACTTCACCAGAAACCTGAAACTGACCCTGCCCTTCCCCAGCCTCCTGCCTAGCTCAATGGATTCATTAAGGCTCTTTCCCATTACTGAACTACTTAATAGCTTTGTTTGTTCTCCACAGCTTTTTCAGAGAGGAAAACAACAGAACAGACCCATGCCTGGGAGGACGTACACTGCACGCTCCCCCTCACCCCCAGCAGCCTCGTGGGCACAGATGTCTCCCCTGCTCCCAGAGACTTTCTGAAGCCAGTCCACCCTCCAGGTGTCATTTCCTGCTTCCAACCAAAGGGGTGTGTGTGTGTCTGTCTGTCTGTCTGTCACACTCACACACACACACACACACACACACACACACACACACACACACACACACACACCCCCCTCTCTCTGTCACACTCACACACACACACACACACACACACACACACACACACACACACACACACCCCAGCAGCAGAAATAGCAAACAGGGTGGTTTCACACCTGGAGACTTAAGCCAGGAGAGCCACTGTGAGCAGTTAGTGCTTTGTCCAGCTGGAGTTGAACAGCTTAAAGGTCACCGGCTCAAGTCCAAGAGGAAATGACTCCCTGGTTTACAGGACCCACTCACTGGAAATGACAATGCAGACACAGGATCACAGGCCAGGACTGCAAGACAGTGCCAGGCTCACTCACAGGCAACACTGGGTATGCCAGGGCCATGTCTACCACTCTGTCCCATGCTGGGGGCAAAGGGGCAGTGTCACTATGGCTGGGGGTGCAGCTATCACCATTATCCTCCTCCCTGGGCCTGGGGGACTGCCCAGCACTGTGCGAAGGGGTGCCACGTTGTCTGTCTTCCAAAATAATGCATGCAGTGTAGATACTGTCAAAACATAAAATAACCCTTCAGATTCCTGACCCCTCAGATGTGAACATTGGCTTGAGTGGCTAAGGAGGAAAAATAAGACTGAAGTGGACATGGAGTCTTTACTGACATACAAGTTCATTTCAAACATACAAAACATATATATGTTTTTTATGTTAGAAAGTAAGATACGCATGAACAGAAAGAACCCAATGTCTACCACCCCCCGGCCCAGATACAGTCAAACCTATATACTACATTCTCTCAAAAGCCAACAAAGTGCGATTCAACTCATGCTGTAAGCATCAGATCACAGGAATTCGAAGGGGGGGGGGGCGGGGGGAAGGGGGGGCAATATTAACATGTAGCAAAAGTCTTTTTGAGTTATTTTCTGTACTAAAAAATTCCATCTACAACAAATACATAAAATCCACTGCTGTTTGGTCAATTCCAACTCAGTCACCCTGTAGGACAACAGAACTGTCCCGTCACGTTTCCAAGGGTGTAAATCTTCATGGGAACAGACAGCCTCAGCTTTCTCCTGAGGAGTGGCTGCTGGGTTCCAACTGCTGACCTCCTGGTCCACAGCTGAGTGCTTAAGCACAGGGTCACCAGGGTTTCCCATCAGAATCTACTGTTTCACTAGGCCAACGATCTACCGGGACAGAACCAATGCTGGGCGGCTGCTGAGGGAACACATCTGTACACCAGGACAGGGATGACGTGTGGGGGCACCATGCTGAGTGAACCCAGACCAGACCAGCACAAAGGGCAGTGCATGAGACCACCGCTATACCGCTATTCTCAGAAAGACATAGAAAACCAAGGCAGAGGCTCCCCTAAAGCTTGCCAAAGGGATGAGCAGGGGTGGGAGACAAACAGGTAGACACTGTTAACGAGGGTGAGGTAGGAGGGAGTCCACTAGAGGAGCAGATGGAGGTAAAGCACTGGGGGGGACTGATGAGCGGTGTCCACTGTTGTACAAATGTGAACCCTCACCTAATTTACAATGAAAATTTTAAGAGCAAGCTTTCGTACCAAAAGAAACCAACGCTGATGGTTGCCGGGACCAGAGGGGTGGGGGTGGTCAAAGGCTACCAAACCCACTACCACGGAGTCAATCCTAACTCCCAGCAACCCTACAGCACAGGGCAGGACTGTTTGCCAGACTGCAACTCTTTCCCGGGGCAGAAGGCCTCATCTTTTCCCCCACGGAGTAGCTAGTGGTTTTGAACTACTGACCTCGAGGTCAGCAACTCACTACACCCCCCAGGGCTCCCCGGGGCGAGAGGACACCCAGGTGTGATCTGGGTGAAGGGGACAATGCCCAGCAAGAGGGAGGTGAGATGGGAAGGAGGGGAAGGAGCAATGCCGGGGGCAGTGCGATGAGTTGTGGAATGTGAAACTGGCTATCTGCTCTGTAAACTTTCACCTAATTCACATTACGGGGAAGAAAGCCTCTCTTCTCCCTCTGGACTATAGCAGAATGATGGTGCAGATGGAAATGAGGATGGCAAGCCACTTTCCCTGGGTTCCTTCCCTGGGCCAAGCAGGTTTCTGAACACTTTACATGGATCGGAGCAGAGGATAAAACACTCAGCTCCTCACCCAAGGTTGGAAGTTCAAACCCACCAGCCTTAGAAACTGCCAAAACAGTTCTGCTCTATCCCATAGGGTCCCTGTGAATTGCAACTTACCCGACAACAACAATGGGTTTTTTGGGGGGTGAAGTCACTTAACCCTCACCACTAATTGAGTACTATTATTATTCCCTTTGATAGGTGAGAGGTAGGTAGGTAGGTAGGTGGTGGTGGTGGGGGGGGTACTTATTTAAAGTCACGTGCAAGGAAACTAGAAGACCAGCATTCATTCATACTTGTGTGCGCACATGTGTGCAGACACACACGCTTATTACACATGCATGCAGCATGTGTCAACACTGTGAGCTGGTCTTCCTCTCCTTTACATTGGCTTGGTCTGAGGTGCATCTCGAAGTTGCTGGTTACATGCTTCCAGACAGAACAACTCAGCAAAGGATGCACAGATGACAAGGCAGAGCAGTGGGGTAGGAAGACGCTCAGTGTGGCTGGGGATCAAGGAATTGTGTGAGGACCTAACAAGTGAGGCTGCTTGTGGAGGAAGAGGGAGCTCCAGCCCCTCCTGAGAGGAAAGGCCTTGCCTAATAGGCCAAGCAGGAAGGAAACGTGTAAGCAGCCTTGTTTTGTGACATGTGACTACCTGGGTAGTCCCGTGACCCAACCGCCTCAGTCCATTGGCTAACCAGGGACTTCTGACCTCTGGCCTGGTATCGTATGATCAAAATCAACCAGATTCTTTAAGCATGGATGGTATGACCCTATCGATACCAAATCCCAAAGAGTCCACGAGAAAATGTGTAGAGCAATAGAGGAATTTGGCAAAGTGACCAGGTATAAGGCTAACCAACAAAATCAATTGGGCTTCTATACACCAGCAATGAGGAATCTGAAAGCAAAATGAGGTAAACATCTAGAGAATAAAATACCTAGGAATATACCTAACCAAGGGCATGAAGGACTCGCACCGTGAAAACCACAGAACTCTGCTGAAAGAGACTTAAATGACCTTAGCGGATGGAAAGAGGGTCCATGCCCACGGATTGAAAAGATCTATTATTAAGTTGTCCAATACTACCCAGAGTGATCTCGGTTTTCAATGGAATTCTGATAAAATTGCCAAAGTCTTTTTTTTTTTAATAGAAATGACAATCTTCAACTTTCTATGAGATGACAAGCTACCCAAATAGCAAAAGCAGTGCTGAACAAGAACAAAGTTGAGAAACCCACATTTCCTGATTTTAAAACATACTACATAGCTACAGTAATCAAAAACAGCCTGGACCAATGGTATACAATGGAGAGCCCAGAAATGAACCCACACATCTATGGCCATGTGATTTCTGAAGACAGTGTTAAGTCCGTTTGATGAGAAAAGAGTGTCTTCAATAAAGATTGTTGGTTAGGTGACTTCAAGGTTAGCTTCCAACTCATAGCCATTCTAGATGAACCATAGATGAACCACTACCCCGTCCTGCCCATCTTCACAACTGTTCTTATATTTGAGCTTATTGTTGCAGCCACTGTGTAAATCCATCTTTTGAGGGTCTTCCTCATTTTATCAAGCATGATGTCCTTCTCTAGGGACTGGTCTCTCCTGATAACATGTCCAGAGTACGTAAGACAAAGCCTTTACCATCCTTGTTTCTAAGGAGCAGTCCTGCAGTACTTCTTCCAAGGCAGATAGATCTGTTTGTTCTTTTGGCAGGCCACCGGACTTTCAGTATTCTTTGTCAGCACTATAATTCAAATGCATCAATTCATCAGTTTTTCTCATTCAAGGTCCAACTTTCACATGCAGATGAGGCGACTGAAAATACCATTGCTTGGGTCAGGTGCACCTGAGTCCTCAAAGTGACAATCTTGCTCTTCAACATTCCAAAGAGATCTTATGCATCAGATTTATTCAATGCAATGGGCCCTTTGATATCTTGATTGTTGCTTCCAAGGGAGTATATTGATTGTGGATCCAAGCAAGATGAAACCCTTGACTTCAATCTTTTCTTCATTTATCAGGATGTTACCTACTGGTCCACTTGTGAGGATTTTGGTCTTCTTTACATTGAGTTGTAATCCATACAGAAGGCTGCAACCCTTGCTCTTCATCAGCAAGTGCTTCAAGTCCTCCTCACTTTCAGCAAACAAGGTTGTGTTAGCTACACACTGACGGTTATTAATAAACCTTCCTCCTACCCTGATGCCAT